TCATTTACTGTTGTAACAAAACATCAAACAAAATTTAAGCTTGGTATTTTAACATTTAGAAGCTCTTATTTTCACACTACAAAAAAAAAAAAAAAAAAAAAAAAAAAAAAAAAAAAATAAAAAAAAAAAAAAAAAAAAAAAAAAAAAAAAAAAAAAAAAAATAATTTAAAAAATCCTCAATTTAGTCAAGAAAAAACGTGTACCTCAGCGCTAAAAGAACATTTGAAATAGGATATAGCTGGTCAAGAAACAGTTTTGGAACATGTTCAGAAAATGATAGAGATATAATGCGTGAATGATTTATTTTAACATTTTATGTTTTTACATTCGAAGTGGCTATTCGCACCCGGGTACCACAAGTAAGCAGTTGGGATTTTAAAAAAAAAACTATTAAACATATTATTGTTGGGTTTGTAAGACAAAATGGGGTATCAAATGAAAGATAGTTGAATGAACTATGTGTTTGTAAACTTAATTCTTCAGTTTAACTAAAATTAACTTCAACAAATGACATCCGAATAGGATTGGTCTAATGGGACCCGGGTGCGCGTCCGGGACCATTTTGACTAAATGCTATTCGGTTGTCATTTTCACCAACATCCTTCTGATCATCTTCAATAATATGCATTTGATCATCTTCCCTGACATCCTTATGATCATATTCACTAACGTCCTTCTAATCATTTTCCCTAACATCCATCTATTTATCTTCCTAAACATCCATCTGATTATCTTCCCTGACATCCTCCTGATCATCTTCCTAACATCCTCCTGATCATCTTCCTAACATCCTTCTGATCATCTTCCGTGACATCATTCTAATCATCTCCCTTAAAATCCTTCTGATCATATTCCCTAACATTCTTCTGATCATCTTACCTAACATTCTTCTGATCATCTTACCTAACATACTTCTGATCATCTTACCTAACATTCTTCTGATCATCTTACCTAAAATTCTTCTGCTCATCTTACCTAACATTCTTCTGATCATCCTCCCTAACATTCTTCTGATCATCCTCCCTAACATTCTTCTGATCATCTTACCTAACATCCTTCTGATCATCCTCCCTAACCTCCTTCTGATAGTCTTCCATAACATCCTTCTGATCTTCTCCCCTAACATCCTTCTGATCATCTTCCTAACTGTGCTTCTGATCATCTTCCCTAACATCCTTCTAAACATCTTTCCTAAAATTCTACTGATCATCATCCCTAATATCCGTCTGATCATCTTCCTTAACATCCTTCTGATCATCTTTCTAAACATCTTTCTGATCATTTTCCCTAAAATCCTACTGATCACCTTCCTTAACATCTTTCGGACCATATTTCTGGCAGCCTTTCTCGAAGGCTTTGAGCAAGTTCCTTAAGGGCAAAACAGTTGTCAGTTTTGGGGACGGGCCTGGTGAATACAAGAAACTACTGGACTCGTATCTTGAAATTGTCAGCTACACGGCGTTTGACGGGGCGCCTTTTTGTGAGGAGGTAACTGGAGGAAGGGTAAGTAACTTACTACTGAAGTATTTCAGATATTTGATGTCATAACCGGGATTTATAGAAGTCGATTTTTTTCCCACATTATGTTAAAAGTAAAAATAGGATAAATATTTTAAACATCATGTATTCAACGAAATTATCCATAAGAATAATTTGTAAGATTTTAATGTTTGAATAGTCATACTTGAGTGTCCTAAAATAGTCTATGGTTTTAATTTGCGATTCTGTCGGTTTCGGTTTCTTCTAGGTTAAGTTTCTTGACCTTACAGCGCCGCAATATGGTTTGCCCATTTATGACTGGGGGATCAGCATTGAGGTAGCTGAACACATCCCGTCCAAATATGAAGCTATTTACATCGACAACCTTGTCAGACACGCTAGGGAAGGTCTCATTCTGAGTTGGGCAGTCCCAGGTGAGAGAAATACTGAGTTGGGGAAGGTCTCATTTTGAGTTGGACAGTCCCAGGTGAGAGAAATACTGAGTTGGGGAAGGTCTCATTTTGAGTTGGACAGTCCCAGGTGAGAGAAATACTGAGTTGGGGAAGGTCTCATTCTGAGTTGGGCAGTCCCAGGTGAGAGAAATACTGAGTTGGGGAAGGTCTCATTCTGAGTTGGGCAGTCCCAGGTGAGAGAAATACTGAGTTGGGGAAGGTCTCATTTTGAGTTGGGCAGTCCCAGGTGAGAGAAATACTGAGTTGGGGAAGGTCTCATTCTGAGTTGGCCAGTCCCAGGCGAGAGAAATATTGAGGAAACTCATTAATGGAAAGTAAAAAGCTATTTCCTAACAATAATTCTTGATGTAAGATACTTTTGTGGGCCTGATAGTATCTTCTTTTATGTAGCCCAAAGTATGATACGGTATAATTTGGAAACACTTGTTTTGTTCTCCTACTCAATGGGTAATCAATATTGATGAAGAATGATCTTTTCAAACCTTTCACCGTCAATTATTCACTGCCCTTTTCATGAACCTTCAAATTTCAATAGAATGAAAGTACAATTGAAACCAAAGGCGCAAGACAGATCTCTTATTTTCCTCATTATTGTAGAGAGTTCAGTCTCAGTCCAGGTGGACAGGGTGAGGGGAAAAACCCACGGCAGAGTTCAGTCCAGGTGTTTGGCGGGTAGCATATAAATTAAGACGTGGAACACAATGGAGGTCAGCGGAGCGGGGTAAACCCACAGTCGAAGACTGACCAAATAAATTAAGGCGAGGAATGCAGCGGGCAGGGATGAGGGGCAAAACCCACGGCAGAGTTCAGTCCAGGTGTTTGGCGCGTAGCGGATGAATCAAGACTAAGAAGGTAGGGGGAGTAATCTCTAGCGACGCTTGGGTTGGCTGGTGGACCTATAAGAGGGGACGGTTAGATTGGTGACGGAGGCTACGACAGAGAGCAGACAGAGGTAGAGAACAGCGACGGTAGAGGAAGAGGGAGTCAGAGCTGTGAGATGAATGACAGTGTAAGCAAGTGACAGAGCCAATAAAGAACACGAGTTTACTCATCAAATGTATCACCGGAGTTGTTTACTTATTGAGTACCAGAGATGAAGTTTGTCGGAGTGTAAGCAAGGTTCCTTACATTATTTAGGTCATGGCCTGTATTCAAATTTTCCAGTGTTAAGTGAGAACAAAGAATTTTATAGTGACCGAAATTTTAACGAAACCAATTTGTATGATGGAATGTTTTCGATGGATCCATGGCGTCAAAACGCCCTGAGTGGTGGAAGCAAAAGTGCACCCTCTTTCCTGGCCCTTGGTCGATTCCGTATCGTATTTGAGAGTTCGTGATCAACATTAGTATCATCAACAAAATTTACAGTTAAACACATTCTTAGAAAAAATTTAAAGATCATGATAACCATCTATTAAAATATCGCCAATACCTCAATATTTGCTTCCCATTTTTCAGCAAATCTAATTATCAAATAAAAATTAGGCTTTGAACAAATAATTTAGTAGGCACATAATTTTCTTTATTTTTTATTTTTATAATAATTAAAAGTCCCAACGATTGGTGTCGCGACGGCTCTGCTTTTGTTATTGAGTTCAATCACCTGCAGGAGCCATATCATTTGTTAAATGAGATTTTTTTTTGCTTTCCCATCTTAACTTTGCTACCTGGAGAATTTCAAAACCTGGCATGATTCTATCACCCCTCCACAAATAAGATTGGAAACTACTGCTCCCACCCCCACCCAATTATGTAGACGCCCCTTCTAACGACAGTTTGTTCTAACGGAGGTTTGAAATTTATTGGACGGATTGTTTCTCCAATTCAAATTTTTCAAATTTTTCAAAATTCATTTATTGGTAAATTTAGCAAAAGTAAACATACATACAACCACTATAAACAGAGGTCGGCGCACCAGGGTAAGTTACCCCAAATGGGTCAAAATGAATATCTTGTGGTAAAGGGTACTCAATAGACATCAAGAAACTTGTATCATTTAACAACCCGTCAAAACTAAGTTTTTGGTATAAATCTTTCCTATCGAGCAATGGAGGTGGGTGGGGCTGAGAATGTGACAAGACATGCAGACAAGTAACAAGCGGAGACGAGAATTCCAAGCACAATTTCATCAGACTTTAACATGTTTTTTTTTTTTATTATCAGGACAAGGTGGTCTGTCGCACGTCAACAACAAGGCTTTTGAAGACGTCAGGAGGCTGATGCTAAACAAAGGCTTCATTCTCAACGTCACGGCCGGATTGCCACTGAGAAGCGCGGCGGCTGCTTCGTGGCTGAAAAATAACGTCCACGTTTACTACAGAGAATCTCCGGACACGTTGGTAGAGGACAATGCTTAGTTAGCGGCATTGGTGGAGATGACTTACAAAGTGGCATTGGTAGAGGTGACTTACCAAGTGGCATTGGTGACTTGGACATTGCATAATTTTTAAGAAATATATCAAGGGGGTTGGGGGGCATCTGATATGTTCGAATGGGATTATGACAGGTGTGTGATTGGCATGGTCGGTGTGGGGGGTATGCTGTGAGGAACTATGGGAATTTATTACGATGAACACCGGGGTTGGTAAATCATTCTGATTGATAAAGTAAAAAACTTGGTTTTCAAAATAAACCTTAGGGCAGGCTAGTGCATTGTGGGCAGACAAGAGAGCCAGGGACGACCTTAAGGACTGGCGTGTGAGGCAGGGGCGGCCTTAAGGACTGATAAGGGAGGCAGGGACGGCCTTAAGGACTGGCATGTGAGGCAGGGGCGGCCTTAAGGACTGGCATGTGAGGCAGGGGCGGCCTTAAGGACTGGCATGGGAAGCAGGGGCCACCTTAAGGACTGGCAAGGGAGGCAGGGGCGGCCTTAAGGACTGGCAAGGGAGGCAGGGACGACCTTAAGGACAGGCAAGGGAGGCAGGGNCTTAGGGCAGGCTAGTGCATTGTGGGCAGACAAGAGAGCCAGGGACGACCTTAAGGACTGGCGTGTGAGGCAGGGGCGGCCTTAAGGACTGATAAGGGAGGCAGGGACGGCCTTAAGGACTGGCAAGGGAGGCAGGGGCGGCCTTAAGGACTGGCATGGGAGGCAGGGGCGGCCTTAAGGACTGGCAAGGGAGGCAGGGGCGGCCTTAAGGACTGGCAAGGGAGGCAGGGGCGGCCTTAAGGACAGGCAAGGGAGGCAGGGGCGGCCTTAAGGACAGGCCTTAAGGGCAGGCAAGGGTGGAAGGACAATCAATTTAGAATAACATTTTAAGAACTTAACTAAAATTTGGAAATCATAAGTTAATAACCACGTGTTACAAAACCTTTTTTAAAAAATAAATGTAATAAAAATAACTGATTGATTTTAAATTGTTAATACACCACACCAAATTTTAGATTAGTATTTTTTATACTTATTAAGTTTTACATACTTTTCATTCCAAAAATTTGCTTTTTATCAACTTTTATGAAGTAATGAAGACTTAATGTTTATAAAAAAATTAATAAGATTATGTGGTTTAAGTCATTAAGTCCAACGAAAATTCATAGCCAAATAGCACTCACTAATTTTTAACACTCATCCAAATAAGAACAAACCATATGTATTACTAATTGGTTCATTTTTATATCAATATCTAAAAACTCAATTATGTGACAGATTTGAACTTTGGTATATATTTGGTGGGGTGGGTCAATATACATTGCTGTTCTTTATTTCATAAATGTATTTTATTTTAATGTCATCATTATGTCTCTTTTGATAAAATTTTTATGTACAGCGCGGTGAGCCCAGCCCTAGGCTGGGTACCGCGCTATATAAGACCTCTTGTTATTATTATTATTATTATTATTATTATTATTATTATTATTATTATTATTATATATTTTAAAATAACCATTCAATATACCGTTACCAAAATATACGTCAAACTATTGTTTTTTAAGAAAATGTAAAGCAATGTGTTTTAAAAGGTTCCTTGGACATTAGAGTTCTAATAACCTTCTAGGGCTTGCGAAAAAATGTGTGGATGCACACGTATGGGTCTAAGTATGTGTTCATTTTATGTGGATTACAATATTTTTTAATCCAATGATATTAGAGTGCTAACGTTTCCTTTAAAAAAATAATATATTTTATACCAATTCAGAAAATAAAGTTCAAGGGTGTTGACAAGCCGTGGTTATATCTACATATATTTAGCCATACCTCCGAAAATCCAATAATTTTACGCTTAAAAATAATCTTTAAAAAAGAATTCTGAGTTTTTCGATTGTCCTATATGAATCTCTTAACCTATTTTCAAAGTAGATAAGACCGGGAAACTGAATTTGTAAATAAATATATTTTAAAATGAATTTTTGTTGATTTTTTTTTTTTTAATATTTATCTTTCCCGTCTTGCTTTGAAATTCCAACGTAAAACTGAGTTTTAAAAAATAACTAACAGCAAAATACACTTTTTCCATGTAATTTTTGCTAAGCTATTCTAATTTTTTGTTTAAAAAAACCATCTGTCTATCTGCGTGCTAAAAGATTCATATAATAATAATATAATCAGTTCCTTAATTAACATATTTGACACATTTGGAACAAGCCACTTTAGTACAGATTCAGCCACTATTGTCGATATGTTCATTGTTTGGTTTTTCTTTTTTTCTTTTTTTTCCAAACATTTTTTAAAGATTTTCCCGTACTTTGTTTCGCTAATTCCCCATTATCAACTATTGCAAAAAATTGATTATTCTTTGTCTTACAATATAATTTGCTAACATAAAAGTTCCAAACAATTGGGACGATTTAAGTTTTACAAACATGTAGAAAATTTAATGGAGGAAAAAGCTATGTTAAGTTCAATGCCTTATCTTACAGAAAATGTATGAATTTTGCTATATTACTTATTTGAACACATCTTCAAATGACATTACGACAAACCTATCAGATTTACGGAAAGAAAATGAAATGAAGAGTTCCTGACTAGAACTCTAATAATAGACTATTTTATAACTGTAAAAAACATATTAAGACCCTAGTTTATAGATGCACCTTTAATACAAAAGAGGAATACATGCTTATAGGTGGTCAGTAGCAATCTGATTGGTCAACATCTCCAAGCAAATCCCTTTGTTCACCTACAGCTAAAATTGAGACAATACGTAGCTATATGACCGCAGTTACCCCCCACCCCCACGTACACTGACGTCACCAGCGGATTGCGGGGATGACAAGAAAAGGAAAACGGCAAATTTGACCAAGATCACTTGAGTAGGTTTCATAACAGATCGTAGTCAAACACAATAGCATGACGTCACCAAAGCAGGGTGCCACCGGAGAAGGGTGCCAGCATATCGGGGTGACACCAGAGAAGGGTGCCAGCATATCAGGGTGCCACCAGAGAAGGGTGCCATCATATCAGGGGGACACCAGAGAAGGGTGCCAGCATATCAGGGGGACACCAGAGAAGGGTGCCAGCATATCAGGGTGCCACCAGAGAAGGATGCCAGCATAGCGGGGTGACACCAGAGAAGGGTGCCAGCATATCAGGGTGACACCAGAGAAGGGTGCCAGCATATCAGGGTGACAAAGCATATCAGGGTGCCACCAGAGAAGGATGCCAGCATAGCAGGGTGACACCAGAGAAGGGTGCCAGCATATCAGGGTGACACCAGAGAAGGGTGCCAGCATATCAGGGTGACACCAGAGAAGGGTGCCAGCATATCAGGGTGACACCAAAGAAGGGTTCCGGCATAACAGGGTGCCACCAGAGAAGTATGCCAGCATATCAGGGCGCCAACCAGAGAAGGGTGCCTACATATCAGGGTGCCACCAGAGATGGGTACCAGCATATCAGGGTGACACCAGAGCATGCAAACTCATAGGAGGTCCATGGGAAAATCGAGAGGTCTTCTCCAAAATCTCAGATATCAGCGAGTCCTTTCAAAAGTTTGGATTGTTCATTTGCAAGTTTAAAGATTTGAGCTGACGCTAAGAGTCTGTTCAAATATGAAAAGGACTGACAGCTGTTGATGATAATTGATAACTTGCATAGCACTTGTATCCATGCTATTTTAGCATGCTCACAGCGCTCTCTTGTCATAAAAGCTATTTAAAGAAATACGTCTTAACACGTCTTCTAAATAATGTTTTAGCATTTGTAATTTCCCTCAAAGATAGAGGCAAACTGTTCCATAATCTAGGGCATTATGCCTTTAAACGATCGCCCTCCGCATGACTTCTTTTTGTGTCCATCCACACTGGGAACCCTCAGTAGGAACTGTGATGAAGAGTGCAGGTTTTTAAAGGATACATATTTGGACAATAATATTAATGTAACAACTACAGTACCTGGTGGGCAGAAAAAGCGATTCAGGGACTGTCAAAAAGTTAGCTTCACTCAAATCGATGGAAAATTACTTCGATTTATGAAAGACACTTGCTATGGATCGAGTATTTTTTGATGTGATGAGCTGTAATGTACAATAGTCGGTTTATGAAAACATCCTTATTTTTTTATAACCAGAGTTGCTCTTGTTTGTTTAGATCTATAGATCTAAAATTCACTTTATTGGATGAATACCTCATCTCTCTATTAGTAGGCATGTACAAAATTCGAAGTAAGCAGGTTTTCTTTTTCAAAATAAAATATTTATATATAATATATTATTCGTGTTATCTTTGTAACAATGAACTTTTTTTTTTCATTTACTCCCTTACTTTCGAGTTAGTTCTAATCTGCCCTATTTTGTCCGGGCAATTTTTAAAAGAATATTACAAGTATCCTGTTATCACTTTGTAAATATAATAAAAATAGATAAGAACGAGGTCAGTTCATTGTTATTGTATTCTGAACACATATTGCGCCCCTTTCAGGCTGGGCGTTATCAGTTATCAGCTAATCCATTTTGAGCTTTTCTAAACTGTTGACATTTGGAATACATTTCTGGATTGGACAAGCCTAGGCTAGTTTATCGTGTGTCATTCAGTCTAAAAGTGTAAGTCCAGGCTACCATAACGACTGTGATTCAGTCTGATAACTCCAGGTTTACTTAACGTGTGTGATTCAGTCGGAATGTGTTCATGCTTACGTTCAAGTTGAAATACCTGGCCATGTCAACAATATTAAGAGGATAAGTTTGATTGAATCACGGAGCAACTAAATGTCTTCAAAACGTTGATATTTTCTATGAATCTAACTTTTGTGTAATTTTATAATATTATAATAACTCAATTGTTGCTCCAGGTTTCTGCCATCTGCGTAAAATAAAGTGCCCTCACTGTATATGTCACTGGTTTGTGTACGTCATAGGTTAGTTTACGTAATTGGTTAGAAGGCTTCATGGGTTAGTTTACGTCACAGGTCAGTTTACGTCATAGGTTAGTATACATCATAAGTTAGTTTACGTCATAGGTTAGTTTACGTCATAGGTTAGTTTACTTCATAGGTTAGCATGCTTCATAGGAAAGCATGCTTCATAGGTTAGTATTCTTACGACAGAAAAAGTTAATTCAAAAATATCTGAACATGAGTCAATGTGACTGGAATATACGGCTCTATGATTAGACCAAATTTTCAAATAAAAGTCAGGCACTTGAACTCAAGAAAACTAAAGTATGTGGTTTGAGTCTATGTCTGCTCATCTACAGCTTTGTACATCTAAAATGTCAGAGCCATGCCTTCAGTCAATGAGTACGTGGTCAATTTGATTACAGGTACATCAATCTGTGATATCCATGTCGCTTTATGTATTTGTGTTGGAATATTTTTCTGCTGATTGTCATTCCTTTTCCAGTAGCGATGTCTATAAGACGTGTTCCGTTGTCATTACTCTCGTCATGCAGACTTTACTTTCTGACAGTTGACTGTAAGCAGAGTTCTTTCCCTAATTTTGCATTGAAATCTCCTAGGGCTACTTTGGTATTATGGTGTGGTGCCTCATCTGGGATGATTGTCAACCTTATTTTCCAGTTAATGCATAATGGCTGTGTTGCTTGGGGTTGAAATGGCTAGAAAGACTTTGTAATTGTATGCTAGTAATTAGTTTTTGTAGTGCTGCGTTTGTTTTAAATGTGGTAAATTATAGATTTGTATTTTGTTGACTTTGTACCGCGCTTCGAGCCTTTGGGGATGAAGCGTGTTTTTTAAATGAACATTATTATTATTATTATTATTATCAAATACTATTTCTAGTGTTTCATAAAAAAGTTTCCTTAGTGCAATCATCTGCATCTAACTTTGGTGCATGTGCGAAATTAACTCGATCTTTGACATAGTTACTCGTATCCTTATGGAGCAAAGTCTTTCACTCAATGCTTTGAACTCAATGACTGCATTCACTGTCTCTCTCTTTGGACTGCAAACCTTGTTCCTGCATTACTGGTGCAGTTTCCACTGTAGAATATTGTATACTCCTTATTACTTAGGATATTCGAGTCTTTCCATCTGAGCTACTGCAGCGCCGCAGTACGATTCTATATCTTAGCAATTCATCACTGAGGTGGGCAAATGCTCCCGCTTTGTGTAGACTCAGGTCGCTAGCCGTATATTATATTTTTGTTCAGGCATAGGTCGGAAAGCAAAATTTTCAGTCCGTTTTTCGAATGAGGTTTAGCTTTCGTAACATTTGATTTTTACTTGGCAGAGTCATCAGTCCTGAACACAACCAACTGGGGGAGGGGGTTGCCCCTTGCAGCTCTCAGGTAGCAGCCTTTGTATTGGTTCGGGTCCCTAGCCTTTGTGGATCGCTCCACTTCCTACAAAGCGGTAGTTTCTGATTAAATCCGTCCCGGTTATTTTCGTTTCCCCTTTGCCCTATGCGCCACCTGGAAAGGCGCTCCATGGAAGATCAGTATCTCTGCACGAGAACATTTAAACAATACTTTTTTTTATTCAAATAAAACATTACACAATTTTCGGATATTATTTAATTTCTTTTCATTTAAAAAGCATGTATATTAATTAATATGAAGTCGTTTTAAATGTGTTTTGTTATAATCTTCGGTTTTATTAAATTTCAGAGGACACTCTTCCCGTTGACCTCTCGTTGGAACCATTACTCTCCAAAGTTTAAAAATATTCTACTGACAAAAATTAAAACATACAGATAAGATGGCTGTAGATAGCGAATTGGTAGTCAGCATCGTCAAGAAACTAGGTCAACTGTGGGAGGACGATGAATTGAGTGACATTAAAATAATCATTGATGACTTCCAATTTAACTGTCACAGGTTTCATTTGAGCGCGTGCTCAGAGTTTTTCAGAGTTCTCTTGAAATCACAAGCAAAGGAAACCTCGAATGACGTCATTACAGTCCACATTACAGGAATAATTCCCGAGACTTTCAATCTCATTTTGCTTTCTGTGTACAAAGGGGAGCTCACCGTGACCAGTGACAACATGTTAGATCTATGGCACGCCTCACATCATCTACAAGTTGACTTTTTGGTCAACAAACTGGAACATTTTATCTCTAGAAGCATCACAGAAGATAACTTTTTTATCATTTATAAAATGGCAGTTGAACTAACCTCTGATAGAATCATAAAATCAGTACAGAGTTATATGACTAAAAACTTTGAGAAGATAAGCAAAACTGAGGAGTTCTTAAATCTGTCTTATAATTGTTTACTGTCAATTATAGGGCATGATGACCTAGTTCTGAAATCACGTGACGACTTGGTTAGGTCTGTTCTTTATTGGATTGATTATAAACCAAAGTCACGTGATAAAACATCAATGAAAATTGACCGAGACGACAAAGAAGTGCTGGAAGTGAAACAAAAGATTTCTAATATGAAAGGTAAAAAAACAATGAACGATGTTGACGTCATTTTTAAATCACGCGATGAGGTAACATACGAAGTTGAAAGTTCAAGTCAAAGAAAAGACAAACTTGGTGAACTTATAAAAATGATAAACCTGGATGACGTCAGTCAGGATTGTCTCCTGACATTATTAAACAATGACGACATCATTGAATGTAGAGAAGCCAGGACAACTGTGAGGCAAGCCTTCGCTGAACGTAAAGACAAGAAACATTTGGTCAGGAAGATCCAAGCAATGAAACGCAGTTCTAGAATATTGTTAGATGGCTCGTTAGATGACCAACTAGGGGAAGTTGCAGATGTCGAGGATACAGTTCCTGTTGTCGTGTATTTACAAGCATCTTTTAAAGCAATTTTGGCCTACGCGTTAGACACGAGAAAGACTTATTCCCTTCCTCGTAATGGTCTGCCTAAAGATGGGTTAATGAAAAATGTGTATTCGTACAAGAATCAAATATACATTCTGATTGGTCAGTTCGTTGGTGGGAAAGATGCACACAGTATTTATAAGTTACAGCAACAAGGCAAATGGGAGTGCGTCGCTGAAGTACCAGACGGAAGCCATTCCTTCATGTTTAGCGACAATTTCATTTATTGTGTTGTTCAGTTTCAGATCTGCAGATTGAACATGGAAATTCATGACAATTTGGTGTGGATCTGTGTCTATGATGTACCGAATACTGCCACTCATTTCGTCATGTCTGGTAACAAAATTGTTATTTTAAAAAAACTTGTAATAGAAATAGACCAGGATACATTCTATTCGAATCAAATGAGATCTAGCTCGAAGGCTGCCAAAGAAGGTTATATCTCTACTCAACAAAAATATGCACCAAAATTTCCAATTATAGAAATCTCAACAAAGTTTGCCTACCTTGATGTTAGCACATGGGATTCAAGTGACGTCCAAGGATGGGAATGTAAAACCGAAGTTACGCTAGAGGAGGTCCAAACGTTTACGGCCAAGGCAAATGTCGAAGCAGCCTCCAGTGTGCTGAAAGACGTCACGTTTTTGTTGACAAAAGACGGACTCTTACTGCGTGTGACACATCCAACTAATACTTCAATGAGTGTCATACAAGAAGAAAACTTGTACGGATGGCGACCGTGTCATACCTTCGTCGGGGCTGTTAGACAAGAGAACGTTCTGTATTTGTTCGTCACCCCAGGAACCGCAGTCGACGGATCTCTGCTACCAAAACTGACCTCATTTAATGAGGTTAAAGTTGTCTCTTTGTTAAAGTCAGATTCTAATTTCTTACCAGTATCCGTGCCCCAGCAATTGCTGACAGATGAAATACACGTTTTGAAATAACACCTTCAATTGCCTATTTTCTCACGTCGCCTATGTCCCTCCTTGATTGATGATATGCACGCATGAGTTCTGTAAAATTTCCAAACTTACATATTGCAAGGCTTCTCTCCCTTTGTTCACTTTCGACGTCAGTCTTTCTGCCTTTGTCTTTACTCAAATGTATCCAGTATCTGTCTTATCTCCCTTTCAGAGAGATACTACTTTTCCTGAAATTCAATTAATTATTACTTTCTTAATTAACACTTAACTTCTGACATCTGTTTGTCACCACATCCCCATATGGGGATGTATATATATATATATAGGCCTACAGGCCTATATATATATATATATATTTGCTGGGTGGCTGAAGCAATCCAAATTTTGTGTTCTGGAGTTTATTACCAAATAATAGCCTAGAAAAACAAAAACATCACCAGTCCAAGCTACATCAACCACATTTCATATTCCCTTTGGTTATCCAGGTGAAGTGAAAGAGGTGATTTGCTGTCAACGGAAACTTCTTATCTTCTGATGAAAATACCTAGGCCTTGTGATTTCGTCCAGCGAAATCTACACCATCGTTGCATTTTGAGGGAAGGATCGCATAATTTTTTCATTTAATATATATACAGATGAATGTGGTTTTGTTTGTTATAGATTAAAAAACTACTGGACCTAGAGAGTTGAACATTCGAAAAGATTTCTACATTATCCTAGAATCAGAATAGGCTAATTCAATTTTTGTTTCTACCACGACTAAATCAAATGAGAGTAAATACCACTGCTTCAGTCTGAATAATTTGTCGTTGATCTCATTAAAAAAAATTCCCTTTGTCCGTAGCTGTAACACCTATTCAGTTTATCATCCCATATATATACTGCTTCTGGTGCGTCCTGCTCCCCTTAGAAAACTGCCACTCCCTACATTTTATTTCATTTATAACAATGAGAGAAAAGGCAGTAAGCAGCTATCATAGGCCTATTGTTTAAAGGCCGGCTGGTAGGGTGTAGGACTGTATGTAGGCCTATTGTTTAAAGGCCGGCTGGTAGGGTGTAGGACTGTTTGTAGGCCTATTGTTTAAAGGCCAGGTGGTAAGTTGTAGGACTGTCTGTAGGCCTATTGTTTAAAGGCCAGCTGGTAGGGTGTAGGACTGTATGTAGGCCTATTTAAAAGCCAGCTAGTAGGGTGTAGGACTGTCTGTAGGCCTATTGTTTAAAGACCGGCTGGTAGGGTGTAGGACTATCTGTAGGCCTATCATTTAAAGGCCGGCTGGTACGGTGTAGGACTGTCTGTAACCTATTGTTTAAAGGCCAGCTGGTCCGGTGTAGGACTGTATGTAGGCCTATTGTTTAAAGGCTGGCTGGTATGGTGTAGGACTGTCTGTAGGCCTATTGTTTAAAGGCTGGCTGGTAGGGTGGAGGACTGTCTGTAGGCCTATTGTTTAAAGGCTGGCTGGTATGGTGTAGGACTGTCTGTAGGCCTATTGTTTAAAGGCTGGCTGGTAGGGTGTAGGACTGTCTGTAGGCCTATTGTTTAAAGGCTGACTGGTATGGTGTAGGACTGTCTGTAGGCCTATTGTTTAAAGGCCGGCTGGTAGGGTGGAGGACTGTCTGTAGGCCTATTGTTTAAAGGCTGGCTGGTATGGTGTAGGACTGTCTGTAGGCCTATTGTTTAAAGGCTGGCTGGTAGGGTGTAGGATTGTATTTAAGCCTATTCTTTAAAGGCCGGCTGGTAGGGTGTAGGACTTTCTGTAGGCCTATTGTTTAAAGGCCAGCTGGTAGAGTGTAGGACTGTCTGTATGCCTATTGTTTAACGGCCGGATGGTAGAGTGTAGGACTATCTACAAGCTGATTAATAATGCATGGACCCGGTGTACAAAAAAACAATAACTGTACCCAGTTAAGCCCTAGTATCAATTATTATGTGTGACCTTTCCCGCTGAAATTTTGACCAGTAGTCGGCAGACAAAGAAAATGGGTGCTTTACCTGACATATTTTTAAAATCGAAGTCAACTGTTTCAATTCATAATTTTTTGGGGGTATAATATTGCGTTTATCATTAGGTCTACGCCACTGAGCTAAAAATTTCAGGGGTTCTAACATTTTTGTGACATGTCATAGTTATTTCAAATTTTATTAAGCTTATTATTGTATTTTTAATTATATTTTCAATTCTACTTAACTTTGCGATTAAATCTGGAATGAAAGTGGTGGTTCGGACGCCTGTACCATGACTGGCTATGTACGTGTAATTTGTTCGCACCATAAGTTGTGTTCATTATGCGCGGTGTGTCTTTCATGTCATTTTCGCTGCTGAACGTTCTTTACGCCCTGATGCTGGTGTCGTATTCTTGGTGTGATTTATGTATAGCGACGTAGTGTTTAGACCTGCTTGGAGTGTGGCTATTCTTTGAGATGCTGCCTGAGCTGTGAGTGAAAAGGTTTAATCTATTCATCTAGCGTGCTGCGCTATATATGCAGAAATGTTTGAATTATTGTTGTAAAATGACGACAAATAGCTTGAATTAAAGTTAACTTTGTTCATAGAATAGGACTTGTGTTTAGTAATTATGGGATTACGGCGTATTAATTATGGGATAATGACGTATGAATTTGTGAACGAATTTGACAAGAGAAACTCAATAAAAAGTACTCATAACATGGTGTACTTTTGGCCCATACTACATTTGTTAAAATACAATTAAATTTCATTATATTATTGAAATTAATTGATTTACATCTTATATCTAGAGAATTTTAACTAGGCCGACTACACGATTAATTGGTCCAAAAAAAAAGACGATTAATCGGAAAACTAGCTTATTAGGCCGATTACTGTTTATCTGCCAAATAATCGGTGAAATCCTACAGTATACCAAACATCTGAATCTAACAACCAGTGTCATTGCGAAGAAGAGGATGGAAATGGGCAACCGATCCGGGCACCATCTTCAGAGAGGGCCAAAATTGTCATTATTCCCCCCAAAATACGCGTATTAATATATACTTTTTTTTTGGAAGAGGTCATGTTATTTCAGGCTTTGTCCTGGGCTTGCTACGGCCCTGCTTTGATCTAGAGATGTACAAATGAGCTCTGATCAGCTGTGCCCCTATGAACTCTAGACACAATTGAGTTCTGATCAACAGGGCCCCTATAAACTGTAGACACAATTGAGCTCTGATCAGCAGTGCCCCCATCAACTCTAGACATAATAGAGATCTGATCAGCAGTGCCCCTATTAACTCTAGACTCTAGACACAATTGAGCTCTGATCAGCAGTGCCCCCATCAACTCTAGACATAAATGAGCTCTGATCAGCAGTGCCCCTATTAACTCTAGACACAATTGAGCTCTGATCAGCAGTGCCCCCATCAACTCTAGACATAATAGAGATCTGATCAGCAGTGCCCCTATTAACTCTAGACACAATTTAGCTCTGACCAGCAGTGCCCCTGTGAACTCTAGCTATAATTGAGTTCTGATCAGCAGTGCCCCCCTCAACTCTAGACATAATTGAGTTCTGATCAGCAGTGCCCCCATCAACTCTAGACATAATAGAGATCTGATCAGCACAATTTAGATCTGATCAGCAGTGCCCCTGTGAACTCAAGACATAATTGAGCTCTGATAAGCAGTGCCCCTATGAACTCTAGGCACAATTTAGCTGTGATAAGCAGTGCCACTATGAACTCTAGACACGATTGGTATTCGTGTAATTGTGTAAACACTGTCGACGTTATAGAAGAAAGAAAATAGACAGTAATGTGGGTATGGCCGGGAGCAAGAGTATGTGTGTTACCACGCTCAGAGTTGTATCATTCGGTACGAATTTAATAAATCTAAAAAAAAAGAAAACCTCTTCTTTTAAAACTTTCTCGATTTAAATCTAATATCTTGATAGAGTTCAATTTCGGTATGCTGAGTCACCGATTAATCGGTCACAACAAGCAAAGTCGCTGATCACTTATTATAAGTCGATTAATTGGTGCAACTCTAGTATGGACACCTGATTATTTTTTTAAATTCTATAAACAATGGAAGTTAATACATTATGCATTCTGTTAAGTTTTCTATGGAATTATCTTTATTTCAATTAATTTTAAGTTGGCTTTTCCATATTAGCAAACTAAGAGTGGGAAGGTATAAAAAAATTCATAATTATACAGATAGTTAAGCAAAAAAAAAAAAAGATATTTTATCTATTAAAAAAAGTGCCGCACTTCGCCCCCTTTAACCCCCCCCCCCCCCCCCCCAAGGTTCTCCACTACATCTTTAAAAAAAAAAATCTGTTTATAGCGATATATCTGTAACAACACAACTGTCATAACCTCTTATTATATATCATCATGAATTGGCTGTCTGTAGACCGAGATTCGACATATCAACCCTTCATAACCTCTCATTGTATGCATTCATAAGTTGGCTGTCTGTAGGCCGAGATTCAGAGTACAGAGTGCAGCGTGTACAAACAGGACAATTATTTTTAAAAAATGATGGCCCATGGGTCATCTCTTCATTGCATTAAGGTATTTACAATAGCATGTACCTTTTCTATATACAAACGTAATATTAAACTTTAAATGACTTCTAAATAGATGACGTTGTGCCTATTACTTGTGCTTTGAACTGACTTGCTACCATACACTCCAAAAGTCCTGGAACAAGGATTGAAAATGAACAAGATCAAGTAAGGGAATAGTGAACATTCCTCTGAATTTGTCACTTTGTTTATTCTTAACAAGCGTGATTTCCAACCATATATTTGAGTATCGCTAAGTAGTGACTTTGTAGATTTGCTCTGAAAATCTTGCTGAATGTGGTAGAATATTTTGGTTTGCAGTTTTTAGATAAATGGGAATTCAAAATGTTCGCCAAGTTGTAAACAGTTTCTTTTTCTTTCTTTTTTTTTGACTAAGGGAGTGTACTTCATCGATAGAAAATATACCAATAGTCTCCCTTTACATGCGCATTAGGCAAACTGTATACATTTCGAAACAGAATATATTTTCTATCAAATTATGCAGACTCGTCAATTGTTCACTATGATACTTTCCATTTGTAGTGAGAACATACAATTCAATTCCCAATAATAAATAATATTGCAATGTAAATAAGTAGACCACAGGAGCATGGGCCGTCTTAAGGCATGGGCCAACTGGGCACTGGGCCAGCGCCTCATGCTTCTATGGGGCCTCACGCTACTAGGAGCCCAACTCTTTTATGGGCATCGTGCTTTACATATTGTTAATGAACACAAACCACTTTTTGGCAATTTAATTTGAATCAGTAGACAGCATGTTTCCTAACTGTAACCCACGATATTATCGGTACATTCCAGTGACAAAACTCCCAGCAGCAACATTGAGATCTCTCAAGTATTTTTTGCCGTGCTCTGTTTCTTGCCGTATTTTCATTTTTCTTGTTTGCTGAAGAATGCTCTAAGCCGAAAATTTAACATCTTATTATCCTGTCTGTTGATTCAAGCTTCTATTTCATTCACACAGCTTGTAAACAGTCTTTCATTTATTATCTGAAATACCAAATTGGTTTCCTCATAGAGAGGTTTTATGTAGACGACATGTTTTCGTCACATTTCCCCGTGCCGTGAACTCTGAATGACCCAATCTAGTAGACGCCCCGTTCGTATTGGGCGTGGTCTATGTCCTTTGATCTTGCCCTTTGTGTACTACCACTACCAACTAAAAATAATTAATCTGTTCTCATAGTATTTTGTGGAAAGTTCGCGAGTGGACTAGAAAAGTAAACAAAGTCTGAGTCGTTTCTGGAATGTGTCTTACGCTGCATATATAAGGGGTTCAGAGAACATTGAGGGACGGAGAGAGAGATAGATATATTTCACCTCACGAGACAAGGGTATTATTCTGTGTGTACTCATAAATATGTGTTTATTCGCATTCATCATTATACATTATTAATTAGCACATTGTACTATCTGTGTGCCGGTAAAAGACATCCCATACTCTGTAAGTTGAGGATTGTATTTATATTTCTTTTGTTTTGTAATTATATTAATACTTAAATAAATCTCATTAATTGTAAGCAGTACTGTTTGGAGTGTCGTATTTTATTATATTTCTCATATGGTATCTTCCTTTGTTATGCGCTGTCAAGAACGAGACATAAACTAAAAATAAGAGAGTAGTTTCTCACAATAGACAGCAGTGCGTAACAGAGGTAAGGCGACACGCCTGTTACAAAAAGTTGTACAGACGTCATGAACACGGCTATCTAGTGAAAGCAAACCAGAATAGCTAACCTCCCCAATGAAAAAAAATATCAGCTTTGCAATCGCTTGTAAAAGGGGGGGGGGGTGAAGGTAATGTTTAATATATTCAGTTGGTCAAAAAATGCAACACCAGCATATAAAGAAAAAGTGACACCTGGGTGGACCACTCCATCCACCCTAATTCGATGCCACAAGCAGTGGCGTATCTACAGTGTTTGGCGTCAGGGGGAAAAAGATTCATCCTTACGCCCCCCTCCAACTCTGAAACCTGATTTTTTTTCAACAAATTAATTTCATCTAAGCCCATTATTTCCCCCC